TGTAGATTATCCAAGCAATAGTACAGGAAACAACAGGATGGAGAGGCAATCATAGTACTGGAATAGACAGCCTGTTTTGCCAACTGGAAGGGATATCTACTTGTCTCTTAGGCAACAAGTATTATCCTTCCCTAAGTGCTAATAAAAATGTTTACTCAGAAATCCCAATAGCCAAAGGTACTATCACAAAATGCATACTGCCAACACACTACTTGAACAAAACCTGTACAGCACCCTGCACAGAGGACAAATACAGCCACTGTGGGATTCAGAGTTTTGTATCCGCCATCCAAACCTGCATTTGTACTAGAATAACTTTCTTCTTTGTTTTCTATCAAAACCTACAGCATTTCACTGCATTTTAATGGTAATTTGGTTGGCTTGGGTTACTAAGGCTTAAAACTGGGAAGAGATTTAAGGAATCAATCTAGATTCTACCCAGCAAGCACATACTCCTCACGTGATAGAAAACAGTATTTATCTTGCAATTATTTTCACAGCCAACTCTAGTGGATTTAAAAGGAAGAATGTTTTGCTCTCCTCTTCGGTTTTCAGCTGCTATAACGATGTCTAGCACAGATAGCAAATGAGCTGCATGAATACATATTCAGTATTTGTATTATTTGCATATTATTTATATTATTATCTATTTATTAGCCAAACAGAGCACACAGCATATATATAGTATTTAGGTCACTTTGCTTGAGGGACCTGTTGTAACATTATGAATTACGGAAACACTGAATGAGTCACCTAATCTGCACCTTTGTTGAGAAACAGCAAGAACCAGTAAGGTTGGACGTAATGAGTTAGGAACTCTCAGCTAGTTCAGGTTAAACTCCCAAATGTATGTCATGGATCACCATTCTGCAAGCGATGCTGCACTGTCCCGAAGGCAACACTCTGGCCCAGTTGCCATGCTGGATTCTTCAAGACTGTGCAGCACTAAGATACATCTGTCAAAACTAAAGACTAAATGTTCTCTAGTTTAAAGCATGACCGTAAGTCCACATAGCCAGTTGCAAGACTTCCCACAAACATCCAGACATGCTGGTGAGTTCTTCAACTTGTCATTATCCATACAACTCCAGATACAATGGTTATCTACAACTGGAGGCAGGCAATCAATAACCATGTGTCCCTGGTTTTTCTTTCTTCTTCACAGAGGCATTAGCTAGAGCTAGAATTCAGAATCAGGTTTCAGAGTGGCAAGAAGATATTTCAAGCAATCTTGCCCATTCCTGTAACCTGAGTGGAGCAATTGCCAGGGCTCAGAGAGAGGCTGCGTCCACATATAGAGCTTGGAGACAGGCCTAAAGAACACTTCCTACTGGGTAAAAGCATGAGACAGTACTTAGGGTCACAACAGACATGACTCTTGTAAGTGAAGTTCTCAAATCTTTGCTATTACAGTAGTGCTCCAGGCTCCAGTATGCCAGAAGGCTGGAACTCCTCAGTAAATTCCAATTAAAAAGGTACCAAGAAAGAGGATTTTGCCTGAAAGGCTTAAAGCTGATCACCCATCAGAAATGAGACAAGAAAGGAAAAATGAAAGTAGAGACTGGTCCATAATAAAGTAATTGTGGAGCAGGACAGAAGGGCTGTAACCCATCTACAGCTTCTCAGAAAGCCATTATTTCTTGTTTCCCTTACCCAACCCTTGAACTACAGCTTCTCAAATATTAGCAGAGCTCCCACTGTGATCTACACTTGGACACGCACCCAGCAAAGCAATGCTCAGATGGCATTTAAGTGGTCAGATACCCTTGGCACACATGAATTTCCAACTGGGATCCATCTGTGAGCATAAAACGTGACTGTGATTTCTTCTTTATTTTGCTGTCAGCACTTTGCAAACCTCAGAAGGGTGAAAATCTCATTTTGACTTGGGGTCTTGGATCCTGACAGCCAGAATTCACAGCGAGAACCACTGTTTCCCCCATCCCTAGATCTAGCAAGGTTATGTCTAGTACATATGAAATAAAGTACTAGGCAACATGGCAACTGGCATAAAATTCTGGTTTTCTCACTTTTATATCACAGTATCTACAACAGATTGTGATTTGTGTCTATTCTCTTTGGAGCCATCTCTTATCTTCCACAACAGACTGCTTTGTAATTGTCTAGCTCTTTTCTTTGGGGCCAGCATACCAAGTAATTAGTGAGCCAAATGTTACTTTCAGATATGTCGGGGCCATTCAGGCTGAGATTCTTATTCAACTTTGTGTCTTCCAATGTAAATACAAACTTGTCTCATCTGTCTGTGTGAATATGTCAGTATGTTTCTGTCTGTCTTTGTGTATTAGTCTTATATAGCCATACCTTCCAGGGAAACCACTGTACTGTCAACTGAATGTCATGCAAGCTCTCAGCTCAAAGCTCATGAAACCCCCCTGCATTTAAGTCTGTGGAGAAACAGGGTTGTTGTTTCTACAGAGGCTTCTTACTTAAATTCTTCTGTCCTGTCCTTTTAACTTCATTCACCCTTGACTCTGCTCATCCTTCATAACCTTGTACTATAAGCAATCTAAGTTCAGTTTTGAAAATATCCCCTGAAGTCTTGCATGCTTTCTGTTACCTTCAAGCTTATAGCTGAGCAGCCCTTTACCTCCCAGGGCCAGAATTCCTCCCTTCAGAAATCAGTCACCTCTCCCCTGACTCACAGAGCTACCCTAGCTCTGTGCAAACTCCTACCGTCAACTTCATTTTCAAGGGCTAAGAGCCACTCTCTGTATATTCCACCTGATCTCTGCTCCCTTTGACACCGTGTGTCTGCACCTTATACAAGTTAACTTCCAGTTAACTTGCAGTACTTGGTGAGCTTCGTTCTTCAGCCTCGCTGGTTTTCGGTATCTCCTTGGAGGTCATTAATCTTGATCTGGATATTGCTTTGGGTCTCTTCAAGGCTTCGCAGAGACAGTTGTAATCTAGCATAGGTTACAACACCAAAGAGCACCAGGGCTTCAGTGCAAGCCAAAGAATCCCACAGGAGACACTTGTTCTCGTGGCCAGTCTGGACTTAAGCCAGGGCTGCACCCCATTTAAAGTTACAGTTATCCAGATCAGCCAGGATAAAGAGATTTATCTGACTAAGGCAGAGATGAATGGTAGAAAGCATAATAAATGGATGTACATACCAAGTTATTAAGTAGGTGGAAGGTAAGAGACACAGAATCTAACAAGGAGCTTTTAGACAAAATAATGGTGAGAGTTGCCAGGCCTTACACCACCTGCCAAATGTTTTGCTTCCCTCTAATCCCCCACCCTTTCAGTCACATCAGCTTTAAGTTACATTGCTTGCATTCACTGAATGCCACATCTGTGTGAACCAGACCCTGGAGAGAAGAGCTGCACTCCACTTCAGAGAATTCCTCATGCTCATCAGCGTGTGGCTCAATAGGCCCGTAGGGGGGAAGGTATTTTATACGATAAACCCTAGGAATAAACATCTGCATTGAAACAAGTGGCTTGAAAGAATCAGAAGGTAGGAGAGGAAATGTTATTGAAAGGCTAAAGGATCTGTTCTGACAGAAAGATGTTCATCATGTGCAACTCTGCCCGCTTCAGACTGGCTTTTCAGATGTTTTACATAGCTGTGCTCACCTGTCCAAACACCTCCTCGTTCACCGTGAAGGTGAGATCCAGGATATCTGTGATGTTGTTATCCTTCATCCACTGCAAACTCTGATGGAACTCTTCATCCAGGTACTCTAAGTCACTTAAATCACATGGCCTGATTGCAAAGCAAGAAAAAAAGATGCAGTTATACATAAGACTCCATGGCTATTGGCAGGATGACTTCTACTGACAATGTGAACAGATCTGTGCTGAAAGAGCCAACATAAAGCTGGTGTTCATTTGGTTTTGTTAACATCAAAGCCTGTTATACAGACCCTCTCAAAGCAGTTCTGCAACTGCTTTGCATGGCTGGGCTCAAGGCCAAATCTGTTGGCTGCCTGCACTATTTGCTGTCAGAGGGCACCCCTGGGGCTTGATTTAATGTGAATCTTCAGGATGCCCTGCACATCAGAGCACATGCTTACCTTCAGGATGGATGGGCCCCACCATGCTGTGCCTGGCTGCTTCCACATATCTATCATCCTCGAGGTGAGCACATAAGACGACATAAGGCAGACCAAGCAGCCTAAACTGCTAGTAAGGTGCCTGCTTTGTTTGCTGAAAGGGCAGGTGGTTTCAAACCTCCTAAAGGGGCAATAACGATGCAGGGAGCACTCTAGGTTTCAGGCTCTTCCCAGACTAGCTCAGATACAACTGAGAGGACACTGTTTGGACCTCACAACAATCATTGTTAAAAAAAATAGTAATAAATTAAATACATGTTAAAGGACTCAAAGGATGTTAAGTATCTTTGCTGACCTGACATCATCTTACTTGATGAACTATTTCAGCCAAGTTTTATTCTGCTCTTTGACATTTAATTGCAGTCTGAACTTACTGCTTCTGGCTTTTCTCATTGCTGTAAATTTTATGTACCTTGACTTACTGCAGTCTATAAAGAGGGACAGATTGTCAGATAAAATTAGCCTTATAAACTTGACATTGGAAGCAATATGTTACTGGTAGCTTCTGCTTACTAGTATAAAAGACAGTACAAGGCCAAGAAGAAACATTCACTGTTGATATCTACATTAGCATACCTAATGAACCCAAGTTGTGTTTTAGAATGAAACTCAGTTCCACCAGCGAGGCATGAGAAATTATGTATTTTCCTTAATATGACTTCCCTCCCTTTTTTTGTTGTTATTTAGCTTTCTTACATCAAAGATACTTTTCAGTCTTCCACATAGTTGAAGTCTTATAAGTTTTCATCAGTAAGTTACTACTTTATCAATAAGGAGTAAACTGGGGGATTATGGGTTGGTACTTTCAAATGTCTGTTTGTAAATGTTATTATGCATTTTTATCAACATAGTATTTATGGAAGGCAGGGTCTTGGACAAAGTAAAGGAAAATTAAAACATGTTTGTTTTCTATCACAGACCAACCAAACATGGAAAGAACTTGAAGGTCAGAGTGCTTGAAGCAACTCCACAAGGGTCTGTGTCTCTGCAGGACTCACTGTGGGATCACTGTTTCTGCACAGTTTCTGCATGCTTATACTTACAGCCTTAGTAGTGCTTTGTAGAATGGCCTTGTGAAGAAAGCATCGAGAAGGTACTGGTGAATGAGAGCAAGGCCAAGAATACGACCACTGAACCTGAACCTGGGATGTAAACATACAGAGTAAATGAAGCATAACTCAAGATACTCAGCACAGAAACTTACAGAGGTAGCAATGGGTTTTGTTTCTTAGTTTCTTACATTATTTCTTTTTCTCCAAGCAGATACCTAACACCACCCTTCCCACCTCTGATCACTAATGGATCTCATTTTGATCCACCTCCCACTGTACCCATACAGGCATCTGCATGTTATATGCTCTCCTGTGCCAAACCAATAAACACCCTGAAGATTCACCACCTATGATCTTTAGTGGAACGTTCTGATACAGACTGACTCCACCAAACTCAGTTTTTAGCTATTAAATACTGTAATACTCCACCCTCAGCAGAAAACACACTATCAAAACAGCTGCAAAGGGTATTTGGTGAATCAGTATATCCAATTTCTGACTGGTTACAACCCTTTTGAGGGTGGAGCTCTGAAGTATTCTAAATGGGTAGTGAGTTGCCTTTACAGGGGGAAACTGATGTTTAATTAAGTTACATGTTGTGACCAAGAACATGAATTAAAATCATTATCTAAAGGTCAGGCTAGCTGTTCCCTGACCACTTTCTTAATGGTGATGTTATGCTGTCTTCAGTGTTTACATACTCTTGTGTCTGTTTCTGCTTTCAAAGAACAACAACCCCTAGTGCTGCTCCAAGTCATCCAGATAGTGCCCTGCCCGTTACAATCTGTGACTTGTGATGACAAGCTGTTCCATTTGTCTATGATTTTTTCAATGACTTACTAGATATTATTCCATCAAATCTGGTTTTAAATCAGTCATCTCAGACAGAAAAATACAGAACTGGTTGGTTTCTTTGTAAAAACAACCCCATCATCCATCCAAAACTTATTTGTCAAAAAAAGGAAAAGAAACAACACGCCAAATGTGAGCCCACCAAGCCTGAGCTGACTGACATCATGGTGAAGTTTCATTGTTCAAAAGATGAGAAACAGATCAAAAAGCCAAGAAACCATTTTTTCCACTACAGGAATGAATGTGAAGACCCCTCCTGTACATGAATGAAACATGAGTCTCACTGTTATGAAAGCAGTGCAGAATATCCATTCGCTCAGTCAACTTTATGCTCATGGGACAGAACAACAAGTGCTTAGTATGTCAAATGGGGCACAAAATAGCATGCTGTGGGCTCAGTTAGCATTTACATCACCACAGGAGCTGCCTCTGGGTCCCCTGCATCTAGGAAAGGTGCTTACGATATGCAGCTGACTGGTAACAGAAGGGTGATTATATTACCCCCTTACAGCTGTTTCCACAGCAGCAACAAAAGGCAGCTGTTGGGTATAGTTAGGACCTGCTTCACTTCACTTGTGCTCCAGTGCAATGTTTCCAGCAAGAAGCAATGAAAAGAAGGGGAGCTGACACAATGAAAGCACAGTGGAAGCCAGACAGCTCAAATCCCAGAAATGCTGAGGCTGTAATCCATCAGTTTTATAGCACCTTCAGGACCTATAATCAAGTCCATTTGTCCTAAATAATGCATGTTGGCTTTTTTGGTTTCGTTCTTCACCCTCTCCATCTATCCATCTCTCTACATATTGAATGAAAATACTATAAGCACCGGGTGTTCCTCACCACAACACCCACCCCACGGCTATTCAACTGTGCAGGGCAGGGTAGGCAGGAGCCTTTTGGAACCAAGCAAAGCAGAAAGTAAATTGCCAAGAAAGATTTGGGAATGCTGTTTCTGCAAAGAAACTGTTTGAAAGTATGAACAGCATCAGTTTTCCTCTTGCTGCTTTTATCACCTCTGTACCTACATGTGGCTTTGAGGGCATTCATGCAAAGCTGACATGAAAGGGTACTGCACCTAGATCAAGGTGTTTAGCATATGTTATAGTAGCCGTTAATGGCAAGTTTAATTTGAACCAGAGCCTTATGGCAGATGTATCAAACCATTCAAAAGCTATGGGTAGTGTTTCTTCATGAAAGGACTAAGGCTGGTGGGTCAGCCTAAGCAAATGTAGGCAGATCAACTCTAGGTTGTGTGGTCCATCAGTCTGACCTTGCACTGGCAGCCCTGGGCACACCAGGCCTTGCTCAGCCTGGGGCCTGACTGTGGTTCCACAGCCCCAGCCTTTGCAATGGTACTGTGTAGGAAAACAAGTCCAGCACTAACCGGTCTGGATAAAGGAGATGAGATAATTAAGAAGACACTGCCACTCCTGGTGTCTGCCAATACAATGGATAAAAAAGCTATGCTGCAGATTGTATTTCTTAGCAGCTCCATATCATCCCAGCAGACACAGTGCTTTGTGGCCACATCATGTGAGCTCTGCAGCCCACAAACCCTTCTTCCCCTGCACAAAGCTTTGGTATCCCTGCAGAGCCTTCTATACCTGACTCTCTGATCTGAAGGCTGGTGTAAGAGAAGGACCTCTGCCCCCTTGTCCATTCTGGACAGTGACTGGGATGACAAATGGCATTTCTATGGTCCAGCAGTGCACTGACAACTGTGGACCATGGTAAGTCAACAGATACCTATCAAAAGGGAGGTGTTTGCTACTCTTCTCAGAAGACAATGGAACAGTCTATCTGTGTGTGTGTCCATACAGACCATCGAGCTGCCACCGTGGTCAGCCAAGCATAACACTACCACTTAAAATATATCAAAACCTACAAAGAAGTAACAAGAAACAAATTGATCTCCTTACAAAAGCCAGTTAAAACAAAACCAGACTTTTGTGTTTCTTTCTTCCTTAAGGATTTAGAACATGGGTGAGATCCAGAGATGGGTGAGACAGCTGCCTCAGAAAAAAACAAGTTTCCTTTACAGAGTAAGCAGCACAAAGGTAGATCTTGGCTGGAGGGCACATACCTTCTTTAAACCTGACTTACATTTATCTTTCCAAGGAAGTGTAAAATGCTTGTTTGATTGGTTTCTAGCAGAAAAGATAGCTTGGAAGAGGCGGGGAATGTGAGGTCTTGCTCTGGCCCTTTCTTTCAACACCCTTCCCTTTCAGAGACAATGATTGAGTCTGAGTACTGTGCTCTGGCAGAGAGGGGAGATGTGGAGGGAGTTAATGAACAGGAAATGGTGGAAGGAGAGACAGAATTAACGAGCAGGAGACCTGCTCTGCTCTGACTCCTACTGACACCCTTCGTCTGCTCAAAAAGGACATTGTGCACACCTGCCTTCTGGCTTTTAACAACACAGCTCTCTGACCTATTTGCAGGAGTTTCCACACTACCCAGCAGCTAACTCCTTTTCCTTCTGGAGGCTGCAGGTGCCCCTGAAACAGCCTGCTTTCACAACAGCCTGTTGCAAAATAACAGGCTCGTTCTCCTCTGCATACTTACTGCATGTCTGAGTACACAGGGACAGACAAACCCATATGCTGTAGCAGCGACTAAGCAATACATTTTCCTCCAATTGCAGGTGAGTCACAGGAAATTTAATTTACTCTGGTCCTTATCATATAGCAGCAGAGTAAGGCAGGACCCATAATGACCTTTTGTTACAGGGCTCCCTCTCAACTGGTTGAACAAACACAGGTCTTCTTCATATGACAGGCCTTCCTTGGATTCAGATGGAGAATGATGCACCTCGACAAAACTGCCATCTATGTGTACAGGGGAAGAATGGTTCTTACCATTCTGTAAGGGATGCTTTGGTAGCCATGCCTTGTGAGCTAAATTGGCTATGGTATGAGAAACTTGAAATCCTAAATAGAGGAAGCACCTGATGGAACTGAAAATCTTGCAAACCTTATCTCAAACACATCAGCTGTGTTTAAGTGTGCCCTTCTTGGTGCAGTAGCTTGTGAGAAAATATTCAAAGAAGAGGTGACCTCAAGAGAGGTGACCATAATATGGTTCACGTCCAATTTGAAGATGTCATTTTCCTTTCACAACAGTACTGAACACTTTGCTTTCATCTGTAAGACAAATTTACACATCCTGTTGCAGCAGTTTTTGAGTTTCACGCTGTTTAATCATGCAGATAAGCCTTTGGCCACCTGAAAGACAAGCTGAAAAAATGAGGCTGCACTGCAGCGCGGGATTTCTGCCCTTGGCACGTCTTTTAAGGGAAAATGATATCTGGCAGATGGATGCAGCTGGACAGCTCATTAGTCCTTCCACAGTGGAAGAGACTGAACCTAATCTCAACCATTATTAGACAGCAGAGAACCTAAAAAGGGGAAAGTATTTAGAAGGACTCAAGTTATGTGAATGGCTTCACTCTGAACATGCATCTTATTAGACAACAGAGAATTCAGCCATGAAACCCAAATTTGTAGGAAACCAAGCACCGCAGGATCCAGAATCTGCGGGGCAGCTTGTTTTACAGGACAGTTAAAACCACCATGGTGATGAAGACACTCGTGAGCATCCTTGTTGTGAAGGAGACATCATTAAGGCCAGAAACTACTAATTAAAGGAACTAAAAATCCATTCTTATAGCCTAAAATACTGTGATTTTCAATCTCGTCACTTGGATGAGAGAGCATGACGTACAGAGGAATGTGTACCGATCCACGACTCCTGGGTTTTGGTGGAATCACCAGCACCGGCATTCTCTAAACAAAGAACAATTTTATTCTATTTTTTGATGCAAGAAAGCTCTAAAGATGTGTGTTGTGCAAAGAAGCTCACCAGGTGGTTACAGCAACTCTGCCTGGCCTCATACACTATGAACTTTAAGCAAACTGGCAGTGTGTCAGACACATGCACCAGAGTGTGTCTATGTGCTATGAGCACCTATCCCAGCCCTGGCTCAATGCAAGACTTGACCAACGTGGCCTGTACTGAGCTACATCAGATAATCTTTACAAACCCTTGGCAGCGGATCAACTTCACACCTCTATCAGCCTTCATTAACAAATGCCTTTCTTTAATTTGGTGTGCATATTTAACCCCTACTCCCATAAATGACAGAACATTTGAGCAGACTAATGTGATGATGTGAGGGATCTATTGTCAGGAAGGTTAGCCAGGCAGGCTGAGGAAGCTAAGGCCATTTTGGTTATCTGACTTGCATCTTGCTAACTTTGCAGACTGCCTCTTTGCCACCATGTCATTTGGTGGTGAGGCAAACTTGCTCTGCATACCTGCAGGCTCAGAGGCTGACGCTGTGGCATTCCAGCAGGATGCCGGATGCCTCTCCAGCTCAGGAATCTGATGAGCTCATGTGTCGTTAATAGGAAAGGAATGGCTCTTGGAAAGGCCAATAGACAAAACTCCACTAAGTCTTAGCACATTCAAGAGAAAAGGTAAAATAATTCCTTTGTTAGTCCTGGAGGAGAATTCCAGTATGAAGAGTAATAAGATTAAAGTTAGCTTGTTTTCTTTTCTTACATGCACCTCTAATATGGAGAATTCTCAGAGAGACAAAACTATAACACTGAGACACCTGTATGTGGCATCTTTGAACATCACACTAAGGACTCGTCCCACCTCTTCTGATATCTAACCACAGTAGCATCCCACCTGAGAACTTAACCTGGATCCACACACACTTCTTGTGAAGGAATGGTAATAACACACCTGACCAAGTTCTGCTGTTTTCTTTTCAACCTCATTTAACCTCAGCCCTACGGAGAAGGACTTAGGGGTGCTGGTTGATGAGAAAATGAACATGAGCCAGCAGTGTGCGCTTACAGCCCAGAAAGCCAACCGTATCCTGGGCTGCATCAAAAGGAGCGTGACCAGCAGGTTGAAGGAGGTGATCCTGCCCCTTTATTCTGCTCTTGTGAGACCTCCCTTGGAGTATTGTGTACAGTTCTGGTGTCCTCAACATAAAAAGGACATGGAACTGTTGGAACAAACCCAGAGGAGGGCCACGAGAATGATCAAGGGACTGGAGCACCTCCCATATGAAGACAGGCTGAGAAAGTTGGGGCTGTTCAGCCTGGAGAAGAGAAGGCTGTGTGGAGACCTCATAGCAGCCTTCCAGTATCTGAAGGGGGCCTATAGGGGTGCTGGGGGTGGACTCTTCATTAGGGACTGTAGTGACAGGACAAGGGGTAATGGGTTAAAACTTAGACAGGGGAAGTTTAGATTGGATATAAGGAGGAAATTCTTTCCTGTTAGGGTGATGAGGCACTGGAATAGGCTGCCCAGGGTGGTTGTGAATGCTCCATCCCTGGCAGTGTTCAAGGCCAGGTTGGACAGAACCTTGGGTGATACGGTTTAGTGTGAGGTGTCCCTGCCCATGGCAGGGGGTTGGAACTGGATGAGTTTTAAGGTCCCTTCCAACCCAAACCATTCTCTGATTCTATGATTCTATTTGGGTTATGTTCTAAATACTAAAAGGCATCGTAACACATATATGGTCAAAACCCATTCCAGATTTTCAGACAGTTACTGATTCTTTTCAAGGCTAATCTCCATACTTCCTCACTATGAAACCAGAGAAAATTCTGTTGGGTAAGCTGAAATTTCAGTCTATTTTCCAAATTAAAACTGAGAGGAAACGTCGAGGAGTGCTGACATGGAACAACTGTTTGTGCAGATTTCCAGCTTGGAAACTGATGGATGTTAAACAGTTAGAGCCTACAGGGATTTATCCCTGCAGCCCCTGCAAACGATACTGGGATTTAATAGAGGATACGTTCACCTCAGTGCCAAGGTGTTTTGTTCAGGTATCAAAAGATGAAGGAGCATATTCCATGAGTCCCTCTTTGATAATATTCTGTCTGCTTACTATTCCTAAAAAACTTATGAGATTTAATTATATTTTAAAGGAAATTTGTAACACTCATTTAAGAAAGCACTAGCCTTTTCTAAGTAGCCCCAATTGTAAAGTGTATGAAAAGTGGACAGTTCAGCAGGCCTGCTTGCAGATGGTCATATAATACAAAGCAGGTGTTCAGAGACGTGTGAAATGTATGGGCATCACCCAAGAATCGGAAATTAAGCAAGATAAAAAGGTTTAAAACTGATTTTTAGAGAGAAAAACAACGCGGTACAAACAAACTTCCTTGGGGCTTCAAATCCTGAATGGGTAATTCTCTTCAGGTGAAGATCTGCAGGGGTGAGTCCTCTCCTTCCTGCCTTGCTTCAGGTACTTTTAGTTTTGCTGAGCACCTGAGTTTTGTATGATGAACCTGTGTTTATCTGAGTCAAGCCCTCAAGTTTATTGCATGAATTTCCTGCTGCAAAAGGCCGGTGTAATACTGACACTCCAACAAGTGCTTGCCCTACTTTTATTTTCTGGATTTATCTGCAAATGGAACACAACATTTCTGTTTCTCAGTACAAAAGAGTAACCACATGAAAAAGAGCTATTGCTTACACATGATGGAAATGTGAACTATCCATGTCCTTCTACATCTCTGGAGCTCATGTATCCTGAATTAGCAACTAAGCCTCAAGCCATTCCTGAAGCTTAATTTACCAGTAACTGAAAAACAATGAGATAATACGAACCTTATTGCTTCTTTATTTAAGCTAATCAAATCCTTCAAGTCTTTCCCTTGTCTCTAACCTAGCTATACTGCATGTTCACTCAAAATGTCTTTCCATCTTCCTCACATCCTCACTATAGCCACCACAAAAGAACCATCATGAAAGGTTAAAAGGCTAATTGTGTAAAAGAGAAAAAAACCCATGATTGTATTACAGAAGCTGCAGGCTGTTCTGCTTTATTCAGTAAAGGAGGGGCAAAGATAATGTAGATAAAGGAAAATCACAGTATCCCCTTCCTGTTTGTCTTCGAGGTAGCTGCCTTGGCTCCCTGCACATCAGCTGAACTGTGTCAGAAGTCACTACTGCAGAATACAGAACTGAGCAAACCTGGCTCTGGGACTTCCACTGTGTGCAGTTATCGTAGGCACGCCAGCCCCAGTGTCACGGGTTGTCTGTGCACCACATACTCCAGTCATAGGAAGCAGAAAATTGATTTCCGCTTATGTCTTGAAACTAATAAAGTAGATGGTCTCCCTATAACATGAAATCATGCTATGTGTCACTTTACCAATAACAAGGTTCCATGAACATACTGTTTGGAGGAGAGGGGGGAGTGTGGCCCAGTGCTGGATTTGCCATCTCTGCTTGTAGAGCTATCAATAGCGTGAATAAAAATGTACAATCTCTCCTTTGGGAGAACCATGACAAAACATGGCATCACAAACATGATCTTCATCAGAAACTGGGCTGCTTGTGGGATTTAGATTTAGCTTCTCTTGCTGGTACAATGGATAAAAAAGACTGTTCTATAAGACTGTTGGCAAACCCTCCTCCAATTCTGCCCAGTAACTACAGAGGAGATGCAGACTGAAGTATGAACTACTGGCTAGAAGACTACAAACCTCTACATTTTGTGATTCCCAGATGCTAGACTGTATTTTTGACAGGCAGATCTCAAAGCAGCTTACAAAGGAGATCAGCACCAATATAGAATCATAGAATAGTTAGGGTTGGAAAGGACCTTAGAATCATCTAGTTCCAACCCCCCTGCCATGGGCAGGGACACCTTGCTCTAAACCATACCACCCAAGGCCTCATCCAACCTGGTCTTGAACACCGCCAGGGATGGAGCATTCACAACCTCCCTGGGCAACCCATTCCAGTGCCTCGCCAGCCTAACAGGAAAGAATTTCATTTGACAAATGAGAAAATATAAGTACAAAAGAAAAATGACTTATGTAATGTTATCTAGAAAATAAGTGGCAGAGACAGGAACACAATTACAGTCCTCTTGAGTCCCAGCTCCATTTTAGTTGTTTAGTCTATTTGACAGCTTTTACTTTCTTACCTTCTATAAAATGATACATGAATGACAGGAAATTTTGTGACTCAGCTCTAGTTTATGACAGCTCCTTATGGACCAACTCACTCTGATGCATATGGGTTGTTTTGTTTTTAAGCCAGTAAAAGGGCATTTTTATCTAGAGATTTTGAATTCTCAGTCAAACCTTTTGGAAAAGCTACTGGTGGCGGTGGGGGGCACTTTGTAAACCTGTGAGTTGGTAAAGTTTCATACATTGCACGATTCATGTTTGCTTTGTCATGTGTTGTAACAAACTAGTCAAGCTACAGGGGAAAACCCATTGATTTAGTCATCTGCCAGACAAGAGGGACAGAAAAGCACAAGCCAGATGACCACACCATTTCCTTCAATGGCTAACTATGACTGCTGAAGCCACAATAACCGACTGCTCAGTCAAAGGAGGCACTGTCTGGGGTATCTAAGCAAGAGAGAGACTGCTCATCATAAAACCTCACTGGTAAGCACCCAGGAAAGTCTACACCATGTGCTGAAGCATGATGCAGATATCCTTGAGCTAACTGTGGACAGGCCATCTGCAGTGCAGAGCCATGTGCACTTACCACCCCTGGTCCAGAAGCCATACACTTGGGTTTGCACTGTTCTGCAACTCAGCTAATGATCCCTGCCTCTCAGATGTGGTTCCTCCATTGAGTAAGCTCAGAAATCTGTGTGCTAAATTCAGATTCAGACAGACTATTAATTGCTTGACAGTCTGTTTTAGGTCTTGTTTTGCAAATCACCGAACACCTCCAACTTTTACCAATACCACTGCAAACCTACAGCTCCGATCCTCTTCTGGGAGCATGCAGAATGCAGACCTGGACGTGTAAGTTGCTGTCCTCAAGTGTAAGAATTTTTTTACTTCTCCTTTATGAATCTTTCCAATACAATTAAAGAATTCCAGTTCTGTTCCTTCCAAAATGCGAGTCATAAGTCACAACATAGAAAGCTCCTTTGGTCAGACACAAGACACTGAATTTTCTGTTCTTGTTATTAAATACAGAAGGTAGGCAGGTCAGGATTTTCCTCATCCTCCATAATTTTAGTTAGATTTTGACAAATATTCCGATCCCAAGTTGGGGCAAACTGACAAACTTGACACTTCCCTTCTCCCTGTAAATGCATCCAGATCAGATCAATTTACATCTTTAATCTTCCCTTTTAGTAAAACTAAGGTAATATACTGAAATGAAGAAGCATTTTCAATGGACAAATGAAGCTTGTAACTTTCAAAATATCCCAGGGAGAGCCCTATGCAAAGAGAAATGCCTTTTCTACTCAAAAATACCAAAATGGATTTGGGTGATTTACTGAAAGCAATTCTGCTCTGTGAAGTCTTTCTTTTGATGTATGAATTGTGTTTACTAATAAAAAAGTCAGCTTGGGAATTTCTGCACCTGCTCTAATTGCCTTTGCTTTACCTTACCCAAGTGTGAATAAAATGTAGTGAGAAATAAGGAGGGGCAAAGATGACTGAGCAATACTTCACAGTGACAGTCCAGCCTTGCCATTCCAGTGTGGCTGGAACAAGAGATACGAGGACATTCATCACTCCCTGGGAGCTTTTCACCACTACAAATAAACACACAACCAGTGCCCACCCTGATGCTTCCCTGCAGGCTCACATTCTCAGAGACAATGTGGATTTTACCCTTTTCTCCTCTACCACATGCAAGGTGGAGACGCTCTAGAGATTTTCATGTGGAGCCTCCCATCTCCGGGCAAGTTTAATCCACAATGCTGCAAAAGACTCCATGGCCTTAAGCAAGGGAAAAACCCATAAAGATGACTTTTGTAAAAACACAACAAAACACAACAGCCGCCTTTCCCTCAAACCAAACTCTAATTATGGAAGCAGTGCTAGACACTATGAGGTTCAGAGAGGGGAAAAGGAGGAGAGTCTGCAAGAGACATCTCTTCTTTCAACCCAAGTGACACCATCATTCAGATCCTCAAAAGAACTTGAAAAAATCAAAACCAAAAATAAGGTAAATATAAAGCAGAGCCTTTTTATAGAAAACCCCCCTCCTCAGTTTCTGCAGAAGCTCAGTTAGGGAGAATGGTTTTTTTCTCCTTCAGTTTGGTTTGCCTTTCATCTTCCAGTTCCTCCTGACCCTTAATAAATAATTAACCAGCTGTTGAGGCAGGCTTTATGTGCTTATAGTCATACATCAAACTTAATAGGAAAATCAAAGTTTGCGTAAGTACAGAAGGCACTGAGAGAGATCACAGTGCAGCAGCGAGAAGGCGTTTCAGTAACACACACTATTCACATCATGAAAAGGTCTTACAAAATTATTTCAGCTGCATATTTATTTTAATATCATTCTTGTCCAGAAGATTTACAATAGTGCTTGAAAATTTCTCATGCAAACATAATTTATTTAAAATCAGGTATTGCTAGTAATTAAAATTTATAGTGTCACGTAACATTGAATGCTTTGGTTTTCTGTAGTGCCTTTCATCTGAGAATTTCAAAGCAGTTCACAGCACCAGCGTACATCAAATGGATTTCAAGTTGATGACATAGGAGGAGACCTCTTCATATGGAAACTGAGGCAAAGAGGTAACCACCTAATTGTAAAAACAACTGGCTGGTGCTGGATGCCCCACTATGGGGTGCTACATCGGATCTGATTTTTAAGAGGATGATTTTTTAGAGTGTAGCATAAAAAGGCCCCTTCAAGACAGCTGCAAAATTGGTCTTCCAAATTCATACTTCCCCCTGAATGCAGACCCACACAACTGGCACATTTGAGCCCCAAACCAAACTCTGTGTTACCGACTCCCTTAATAAACAGGTATTGGGCCATATGTAGGTTGCCTGCCATAACAGTTACAAAATTAGAGAGATAACTGAGTAATTCTGACCACATATTATGCAGAGCTACTTTCAGTCAGTGGAGAGCAGTGATGGCTGTTTGCAGACCTCCTGCTTAGATGCTGTGATTACAAAGATGTTCTATAAAAAGCCTGCTTCTATAAAGAGCCAAAGAGTGTGCCTGAATCTATCCTATGAGCTGGTCAGCGTATGAATACAACCCATTAGGTCATGAGGCAATTTGTCACTTTCTGTAAAAACTAAATGAAATAAGTCATTCTCTGTGTAGCAGCATTAATGGAGCTTTGTTTCCTCTAGATCTGTCTCTGATGGTTCTACATTGCCATGCTGCAGTAGTTCCAGTTCCTCCTACACGCTTCTGCTAGCACTTCCCACACTTTGGAGCATCTCCAGCTTTTGCCTCTGAGCTTTCACAGCTCTTCCTGACATCCTCAAGCTACTGACATGATGGTATATGGTTCACAGCCTGTGCCTGTGGTAGACCTGTCAGCTTGCCCATGCTACATGGCCAGAACAAAACAGATAACTGTTAAGCTCACCAGCCTGCCTTCACTGAGGCACTCTTCTGCGTTTCTATCTTTACCCAGCCACAAGTTCTGCTTTCAGGAAATAAGTACCTTTGAGATGTTTACCTTCCTGTCAAACAGGTCACAGGCTGATTAGGAAACTGCCTGATGGCTGGGCAGGGCAATTGCACAAGGCTCAGCTCCTAAGGAAACTGGGTGAAGAAAACCAACCAAGCTCTCTAAGGAGAAAGGACAGCTGTGGCTGCAACATTCTTAGTTCTTCTTGGGTTTATTCAAACAAGAAAAAGGGAAAAACAATACCCTGCATTCTTTGGCACGCTTGAGATGGACAGTGATGGCTATGTGGTTTCTTGCTTACACAAAATCAATGAAAGAGAGGGTCAGAGTTTGGCTGGGGGTATAGCCACACAGCACTGGCCAAGGGAGCTTGCTCTACTCATGTGCCAAGCTTGCCAGAGCACGTAAAGGCAACCGAGGCAGTGCCAAGCCTGAAGTAACCCACCCTGATGGGAGCCAGCATGTTTTTTCCCAGCTCAGTGTTGCAGTAACCATGTCAGTTGGCTTAGAGCACAGGGAAAGCAAATCCATGTCTTCATGGAGAGTGGGTGCAACAGGCTTGCATCTGCCTGCAGAATATGATGTAGAAATACATGCAGGGTTTCTGTTTCAGCAGCATGGGCTAGAATATGAGGGGGTTTGGAGAGCAGAAAGAAAGGCTGGAACTGAATGAAGAAAGCAGCTCTAAATGAGCGTTAAGGTAATGGAGTTCATTAGGACATTGCAGTCAGGAATGAATCTACAGCTTCTAGGGACCTGGGCCACTGGGTGTGACTACACCAGCATCTTTGTGGTCTTCTAGGATTCTGCACAAGTACATCTTACAAGTCCTCAGCTTTCTAATGAGCTTCTGTTAAAAAAAAAAATGTATTAAATTTTATTCAAACAAAACACAACAGGGCTTTTCTGAGATGGATACAGAATGCTAAGTATGAGTAGCAAGCTGTAAATACCTCCAAGATAACTGTGACACTGGGGTACTGCTCTCTGGCTGCATAAATATCACAGCAAGGTCCACAAATGCCTAATTGTTAAAAAAAACATGCTGTCATTAATCCTCTATGAAAACACAGAATAAGATGTTTCAAGTTAGCATCCCTCAGATCTCCAAATGAATGTCTGTGAACAATTTTATCTATCTAGACCAT